GATGGGAGCGCGGCATGACATTTTCAATGAACTTCTTCATTTCTAAGCCTTGCCTCAGTCATCTGTTAGGGTTGCTAATACTGTGCAAAGCTGGACACTAAAGCAGGATGAAAGCTTGGCTTTCGCCATCCGTTACGTTTCGTCAAAATGATATGACGCCCTCACCTCCAGAATGGCCCTTAAAGGACAAAGTCATATCCACTTTGATTCCAATGGAAACATCTTGGTTGACTTCAATGGGCTTCACAGTACAGCCTATTTGAAACTTCCTTGGTGTCTGAAAGTGGAATTGGCTCAAGGCTTCTCAGCAACATAGGCAAGATTTACCTATGGTGTCCAGAAAGATGAGGAAGCCCAGGGCCGTACTGCTTTTGTCACAAGGAAGACATATGTAAAGGCAGAACGAGGATACTTAAAAGGGTGGAGAAAAGGGAAGAGGAAGATTTCTAGGAAGCCAGGCTTGCAGCTCCTCCTGCAAAATGTGGAGTAGGGCATAGCCACTGCAACACATGGGGAGAGACAGCCTCAGCCCCAGCAATAGCTGCCATTTCACATACCCCACCTTTCCCCTTGGCAGCAGCAGCAGCCCAGCACTCCAGTGCCTTGGCAAACACACAGCTGGCAGCGACACCATTGGCTATTTTTGCCATGCCACACAGTGTTCAAAACACCTTTTTCCTCAAGGTCATCTGTGGTGCTGTACATAATTAAATTGGCACTTCAACAACAAATACATTAAAGCTTCCAAATTACATTTAATTTGCATCTCCTTCCTAACACGTATCACAGGCCTCATTCCTGCAAACTCCTCCTGCTCATTAAATCTTTAAAGCTGAGTATGCTATATCCCTCATGTGTTCATGGATGCAGGTTCTCTGAACTGTTAGCCTGTTACTTGAGAAAGTAACCACGTGTGTATATGATAGTTTCAGCATCTTCACTTCAATGAATGCCATATCCTGATTGGAGCTTTTGGGTAAAATGGTAATAAGTAAGTTAAGTGTGATTTTAAGCTACGTGTCCCCAGAATGCCTGAGCCCTGTAGTCAAACAACCTACGCTCCACTTAAGAGTTTTGCGCCTAATGTTTTCTGTTAGCTAGGTATCACAAAAGGCTGAAGACAGCAAACAGAAAACTCTCAAGAATGTGTGTGAGATTTAGGCGGTGAAAATTTGGGCCTAAGTATGTATGGAAAATACCACATGAGATCTTGGGAGATATATCTCTGCTTTACTTCTGGGCTCTGATCTATAAAAACATTTAGACACGCACATTGTGCACAAAAGTAATGCAAGTGGAGTGAATAGGACCATTCACGTATTGAACAAAAACATATGTTTAAGTGATTGTTGGGAGCAGAGACTTAAATTGTAGGCCTTTGTATTCAGTGTGTCTCTATGCAGTTATCTTGCACCCATTCACTTTTTTTTTGGATATTTAGGGCAAGAGTTATAGTTACATACAGAAATTAAGAACTCTTGTACAAAAAACAAACAACAACAAAAACCCCACTATGTTATTTCAGACAAATTCAACTAACAATTCTACAGCTATCAAAACATTTTTACTTGGAGTACCAAATCCAGGGCAGAAGTGCTCAACTCTTAGCAAAGTGCTCCATTCACTTTGTTTCATTTATCTGAGTTTCTCAGAAAACAGAACCATTCCACGTCATGCAACAAAGATTTTTTGAAGCCTCCTCAGAGTTCTCTTTTCTCTACATTCCACTTAATGGTGGCTCTCACAGGAATGTCTTGCTTGTGACTATACATGTAAAGGCCAATGGTCAGATCAACTGTATTGTTCATTTCACACCCTTTTACAACACTGATTCTAGGATATTTTATTTTCATAGGGGCAACTAATAAACTTAGGATGACAGGGATACTACTTTTAAGCATCATCATTCATAAGGACATAGAGTTCAGCATATTGCAACAAACCTCACAAAGTCATTATACCAAAGCCATACATCACATCAAAGCTGCAGGTACAAATCTCTCCTCCCCTCGGTGTATATATTCAGGATTCTTTCAAAAAAGTTTTTGTAGAATAACTTAGAGAGAACTGAAAGCAGAACTGGAGATGAGCAAACTTGTGCAGAAAGAGATGCATCTCAAGAGAGGAGAAAGAGGAATCACACACATCCACTTATCTGCACATTTTTTCTACAAACTTCTCCATTTCAAATTTCAGCTTTCATTTTGTTTTCCTTTATAGGAAAGGACAAGATTTTTTCCTTTGCTACTGATAACCTTTAGGGCACACCACAGGAATTCCAAATACCTGTAAGCATTCTGTAATATATTGTCCTGTTCATCAAAATTTCAGAATGATTGAATGTTTTACCTGCTGTATTTTCTTACACATTGAACATATTTCCTGTTCTAGACAACGGTGGTCACTACTAAAGGGAGTACTGGACTTTCTCAAGAGTCCCTATGGAGTTTTGAGTGGAAATAAGATTGTCATGTCCCTTAGTATGTTAGTAGTTCTCACAAGCTCTCATCATCTAGTACATCCATGTATAACATGTTGTAATTATTTGTCAATTCTGATATTGAACAGTAAGATATACATGGTCAACTGTGGGAGAAGTAATTTTAAAGCAGTTGTCCTTGGATTATACCTCAATCCAGAAACAATTGTGTAACATTACTTAAAGATCATTACATAAAGTATGACTGCTTTGCTCCTAAGATTTGGGTCAATAAATAAGATACAGGTAAGAAGCAGTAGGAGAAGTAAAAGTGGAATTTGTAAATATAATTTGATAACATTATTTACATAAAGTCTAAGTACCTATACAACTGTAACCATTTATACAGAGAAAAGGTGCCACATTGCCCAAAATGGGAAGTCAGATTATTTATCAACCATAAGTATACTTTGGAAGTTTTTGCATGTTGTTCTCCAAATACAATATACTACTCTAATGGGGGAGGAAGGAGAGACTTCCTAAGCATGCAGGGGCAAAGACACCATAGTCACATAGTCCATCCTTCCTCTACTGCAATGATGCCAAGGGTAAGAGAATAGCTGCTGTTCCACAACACAATTATGAAAATGACTACAACCTACTTAGGGAAAAAAATGTTCTGCAGCTATAATTTATAACTGAGTTAGAAGGAAGATTCTCTTCATCCCTCCCTTACTATTCTAGCCCTAATCCAAATTGGAGCAAAATGCCCATATTTTTAACAGCAGCAGTTAACAAAGCTGTCTTTCCAAGACTGAGCTCCTTTAGTAGTGCATACCTAGTAATATTAAAGTCACAAACCTGCGTTTTAAGTTCTGAATGGCATATTTATGCTATTAGAAGAAAAGGAAAGTTTGAAATGACGATCATTGGCTTGAACCTACAGCTTTTCTCCTGCTTGAGTTATGGCTAGAAGGCGAATGTGAGGGAATGATTCATTACCAAGTATTCTTCTGAGACAGGCAGTAAAGAGCACGAATAAACTCGATTTGCAAAACAAGTCTAGTTACCCAGCACACCACAGGGGGATGTGGGTGGACAGCAGAGCAAGGCCAAAGAGTGCTTGCAGAGCAGATGGATTATTGTTAGGCTGCAGCAACCAGCCACCTGTTTCTACAGATGCACCTGGCACTAAAAGGGCATAGTAGACTCCAGCCCTCTTCCAGTGTTTTCTATCTGCCTGTCAACCAACATAGCTTTATTCCCTGCACATTTTTTACAATTCTGTGACTGAAAACCCAAAATCTGACTTCTCCAGGTCAAATACTTTCCTTACTCTCCAATGTGGAAATTGTGGATCTGCCAACTTGCCATTTCAGTATTAAATGAGAGTCATCATTCCAGATGTTAAAAAAAAAAAACAAAAAAACAAAAAACACCACCCAACCACAGTGAAAAGCTTTGGCATTTAAGAATTACTCAGTTGTTTTGACAGAGTTCAACAGTACCTAGTGGAGTCAAAAATGCACATTTATGTTGATACATCACAAGAGAAGACAGGCTGTTTGATTTTTGAAACTGTTTCCATAGTTTTAGTTGAAAGCATTCTGTTGTATAAAATGCCCAAACAGAAATAAAGTATACTTTCACAGCTGCAGTAATGTTAACTTTTACATTCATTTCCAAACTGTAATACTAAGTGTCCAGTTGGATAATCAACCTCATGTTAGTAGCACAGATCTTACAACTGCTTAACTGTGTTTTATTCTGTCCACAGAGGCAGGAATACATATATAGTTACAGAGGTAAGGATAACAGCTATTTTGAATTCTGGCAGTAGTTTTGTTATGAAGACCTGCATTAAAGAATTTATCCTAAAGAGAACAAGTTAACCTTCACTGAGCTTCATACTGTACTGGCTAGACTACAAAAAGCAGCCAAACTAGACTGTCCAAAAGACAGCTCAATTATGTATCCTCCCCACTTGCAGATCCTGTGACTAGAATGCAGGCATGCCTTAAGATGCAGGAAAGTCTCTGCACAGTATGGATTTGATTCTCCTGATAGGCAACATGATGCACAAAGGATTTTGTTATTTTTGTTGATTGAAAGAAGAAAACAACACCCTCACACACAAACTCTTCTCCCTCCCCCAAGCAAACAAATCTAAGAGTTTGAATCTCTCTGATCATTAAATCACCCTAGTTAAATATTCTTTTAAAAAGCTGGTAGCATGGACTCTTTGTGTCCTTTTCAGCCTAACAAAATACTGAAATAAAGACTTTAAGCACAAAAAAGGTCAAATCAGTCAATAATGACAATAACAACAAAAAAACATAGTTACCAGCACAAGCTCTTAAAAACACCTTAACTACTCTTTCAAGCAGCTATACGAGAATTCCAGAGTCTAATCTCACCCCCCCCCCAAAGTAAAGACATTACTTTTGTTCACTCCAAAAATCTCCTGCCCAAGGACTACTTTTTCTTCCAAATCTATAAAATAGAGTCAGCCAGCAAGTATATCTTTTGCCTTTACCACCTTCCTAGAGGAATAAAGCTTACCAGGTCATACTTCAACAGCTCCTTGACAGACAAGTTTATTGAAACAATTTTTAAAAGCAGATATTCTGAATATTCCATCAATCCCAACAGATCAGAAAAACAATTGTTCAGTGTCCAAATGAAGCGCACATGTTACAAATTGTACATTTTTCATATTTATACCACATGACATGAGCATAAAATACAATGATTCTTATGTTATTCAGTATGCCAATTTATTGCTACAGTTCCCAAAAAGTAGGGCACACCTGGAAATAGATCTTAATCCAAGGCAATTACAGCTGTTACTATTCCTTGGACCCCAAGATCAAGTCACTAGTGTTCCGATGTAAATCAGCATATATTTAAAGGGTTTTAATTTACAGCTAAATCAAACATTTTGTTTTGCAAGACTCTATTCTTAGATGTACTTAGCAGGAAGTGTAACATCTGAAGTATTTACTACAATATAAATACTTCAAATCATAGGAGATAAAATTTTCTTCACCTTCATTTGGCTTGACATCTTTAGCCATACCAGTAAGAACAGGTTCCATGTATGAAGCTATTTAAAAAAAAAAAAAGGGGGGGGGGAGGGGGGGAGAGAAACAAACAGGGAATTTAACCAACTTGTGCAAGGAATGAAGGTCCAGAGTCCATAGGTGAAGTATTACTCCTCCAAAATGAAAGATAATTTGGGATTAGTAAGTGCTATCATGAACTTGTGATTATGGCACAAGTATACTTATTGTTGGTCTGTATTAAAGAATCATTAAGTACTGATTCAGGTTCTCTTTTCTGTTTTGTTCCTAAGAACAGTCTTAAAAACTCCACATTCTGAATGCAAATCAAAGTTTAGCTATTCCAATTTGAGTCTAGCACAGATGCTTTTTAAAGGTCAGGTTCCATTTGGAAGTCTACTATTTTGGCCAAATGATTTTCCACATATTTGCATGTTTTGCCAGCCCTTTTGACCAATAATATGATCAATTTATTGTCAAAACGAGGAATTTTTAGCAAATGAAAAGCTTATTTCAACAGTAAGAGAGCTCTATATCCAGTGTGAAAGTAACACGGTGGTATAAATATATGCATACGTTGTATTACACATAGTATATTTTACACATTCCAGTTAACCATGGAACAATTAGCAGAGTGGATGACTACTAGTCATGGGTACAAAGTGGTTTTGTAAACAAGATTCTGAGAAACTTTGATGAAAGTCTGATTTTTGGGAAAGATGATAATCTTGGTTTCCATTTTTATTTTCAAAGAAATCTTTTTTTTTTTTTTTTTTTTTTAAAGATGCTGTATATAAGAATGCACTTTGTATTAAAACAAGGATCAATACTTTACAGTTTAAGAAACTTTACATATGTACATAAATTACATATCAGGAATGGTCTCAAAGCTCAAAATGAGTTGTCAGAAAAGTTCTATTTCCCTTCTATTAAAATCTTTAACTCTTTTACGTTGTGATCATTCGCAACTGTCACAGCGTGATCCAGTGCTCGGATACTTGCTAGAAGCTTTATTATCTGCTTTATGTTCTCCCTAAATAAGAGGAAAGGGAAAAGTCAATACAGAAACTAAACAATACTGTACACATATTAGTTTTTAACAATCTCATCTCCTTTGTTCCCCAAACCATGAGTATGAATCTGTATGGCAAATAGGTTTCAGATAATTTCATATCACATTCCACCCTGCTTGCTTAGTTAGATAAAGTAAGTTGTTTATCAGCTTTAAGTACTGAAATTGAAAATTTTGTTTTGGGGTGGCAACCCTGGAGAGAAAGAGGGAGTAGGAATTAAATCATATATTTGGTTTATACTAATAGCAGTACAGTCTAAAGAAAGTCTTGGATTATTTAAGGTGCTATAAAATAAGTCACAGCTCTTAAAATTTAATTTTTGAGCCTAAATAAATAAATAGATAATAGTCAAGCACACAAGTGTTTTCATGCATGCCTTAAAAAGGTAAGAAGCTTGCCACACACAAACTGCATTTCAGTTCAAGTCAATCTAGGTAGCTTAGAGCGAACAAAGTGCTGGGCCAAGGGAGGAGTGTGGTGGTGGCGGTGGTGTCTGTACTTCCTAGTTTGTCAAGAACATTTTTAGTATCTTGGAGGGATGGCAGATACGAAATTTAAGTCCTAGAAAATACTAGAGGTCCAAAATTCATCTTAAAAATGAAACTAGCTGATTTGTAAAAAAGCACCCAAAGTTTGGGAAACTAACATCAGTCCTCTCATCAGAAATTAATACATTTGTTAGAACAGGATTGTACTCTTTTTTACATGAATAGACAAGATGCTTTTCAGTTATACAATGTTCTATTTCAGCTGCAGACTTACTTCATCAGCTTAATGGGGGCAAAGAGAAAAGACTTAAAAATGCAGGGAAATAGCAGGAGCAGGAACATAGGAGGAACATAGGAATTAGCAGGAATAGGAATAGCAGGAACATAGGAATTAAATTAAAACTCACCATGGGGGGGGGAAAAAAAATTAACTGGCTATTAAATCTTCCAATACAAAGTTTAGCCAAGTTTTGGGAGACAAGTTCAGCTGGTAAAGAAAGAATTTAGAAACTTGCTATCAAAAGAGAAAGTTTAAACTCTACTGGATTCTCTCTCAAGACCTTCAGTTCAATTCCAACACCATGCTAGACTAGGCATTTTGGTTTCAGAAAGGAAGGAAGGAGTAAAGGTTCTGTTTTGGGTTTGACTCATATGGGGAAATTTACATTGGTAAGTGACATTAAACTGGTATGTGACATTACTGTTATACTTCAGACATACTTCTGAGCCATAAGACTTAGGAGTGGATAAAAAGTAGTTTTAGCATGAGCTAGTGTGGCACAAAGCTCAGCTTCTCTGAAAATTGGGTGATTCATATGCCAAACCAAAAAGTGACTCTAAAAACAGATAAATGTGCAACAACCAACACAGTAACTGCAAAAAAAAAAAAAGGGGGGGGGATTTTTGAGGTTCTAACCTAAGAAATTTACGCACTACACCAGAAGAAAATCCTTGACCAAGATTTCTGTCCACTACGTTTCAAGAGAAATTCTTGTCTCTACATTTCAGAAGTAAATAGACTCTTAGATCATAGGGGAAAAAAAAAAAAGGTTGTGTAAGTAAATCCAGGACTTTCATACAGTATTTTTTCAAAAGCATAATTTGTAAGTCAGAAGCCATTATGCAGGAATCAAGAACAGGCTCACAGAGTGAAGCAATCTAAAAAGAGTAACTACAAAATTTTCCAAAATCAAGGACAAAGTAGTGCAGAACGTATTGTGAATATCTGAATACTCTAGCAGCTGCTGTTCTCTACCACCTTAAAAAGCCCCATCTATAAGTTTGAATTCAAAGAAAATTTAGGAAGATTTGCAGCAGTATTGAGATATTTATTGATGTTTGTATGTATCAGCAAAATAACCTAAAGCACAAGAAACACACTGTGTTAATATAAATTACCTTGCATTCCTTTTCTCTACATCAGAGCAACCAATGCTGTTTCTATAAATTGTGTCAGCCAGATGAACAAGGTATCTGCAGAAGTTTTCCAACTGAGAAATAGTCTTGTCTCCTTTTAGATTAGCGAACCACTGTTTAGGAAAGCAAGCAATCACCTAGACATAACAGAAGAAAGTTAAAAAACAAAGTTAACCAACATTTTAAAAAACTATCCAACATGATTTAGAAAATCTGCCAGGTAAGTCTGCAATGACAAGGCTCAAGGAAGTGAAACTGCAAGAAATCTACAACAAAAAACAATCCAAAATTCAAGCCCTAAAACACACGCTACACCTACGTTATCTACAGGTAGCAACCAGGAAAGGTTCATTCTGTAGCTGGTGTCTTAAAAAAAAAATTACCTGTTTTTCCACTGACATTACAATATCAAAGCCAGGACTAACTGAGTTTCAAAAGTATTCTCAAGTTTTAACCACGCTTCCCCATCAACTGGAATTTTGGAATTAAAAAAATATTATTTTAAATTATTTTGTTCATTTTTACTTACACTTTGAGCTTTCTTAATGCTGTCATCTCCATACTCTGAATTTTGAAAAGCCATAAGGATGTATCTATTTAGCAGACCATCTATTGACAGTTCCTGGAGAGTTTTGTTTGAAAGGATTCCACACCACTGGAGAAAGTTTCCCAGTAACTGAAAACACAATACAGAGAAAACAAGTATTTAAAATGTACTGACAAACAACACTCTAGAGCCTCTCCAAACGCATCAGAATGGCCAAGGTCAGCAAGGGAAACATGCCTTTTGATAGCTTTGAAACTATTCAGAACCTGAAAATTACCAGTATACAGTGTTACAAGTTCTCATACAACAAGAAAAAAAGCTCATGTTTTACAAAAGGAGTCAATGAAAAAATTAAGTTTTAAGCCAGCTTGTTCACAAAACTTAGGAGTCGATATCAAGTGAAGCAGGGCCTAGCATTTGCTATCGGGGGCAAATAACCCCTCATCAATCAAATCCCCAGCTATACTTACGTAAATAAATCCCTATACCCTTACCTCCAAAAGCCACTGACACAAAAGACACACTAGCTGTCAGCGAGGGGAGTGCTGGCTGAGCAAGCCGCCTGGTTCTTATCCCCCACTGGCACATGGCCTGTAGAGAACTGCTGCCAGCCTTGTATAAAAAAGGAGAGCTGCCAGCAGTTTACTGTTAAGGCAGATCATTAAGAAACAATAAGGGAGTGCTTCCCTCCCAGCTTCTATTTCTGCTCTTCTGTGATGCTATAGGTGACTCGCTAGCACTAGAGAGCTGAACGTTCATGCTTCCCTAAAATAAAACAGGAATAACAGCATGCCTAGTTCTGAACTGCCCAGGCTCTGATAGATAGGGCTGGAAGCAGGCAATTTCACTCTTAAAGGAAACACAAGCTGTGTAGAAGTAATCCATTTGTCTTAAAATCAGCATATTAATAAGTGAGCTTTGTGTACTTTTTACCTCAAGAAAAAGTTCATTTTTACCTCCAAGTGAAGAAAATTCAGTGCCAAATACTTTAAGAAAATAAAGTGATTGCAAGCCCATTTAGAATAGTCTCTCACTTCTGTAATCTTATATAGAAAATTCCAGAGAGAGTTCTGTTTGCAGGATCATGGAGGTCAGCAGCACAATCCACACTGGTCTCATATACTCACTTTTGTAACCTTTTATTTGAAATAAAGTACCAGAGCCACAGCTTCTTGCACTCCTTTGAAAACTCCATAGTACATATTCCACATACACAGGCTTTTTCTTTCACACCCTTTCTTGTTTCAAAGAAACTAAAATTACAACTGCTATCACACATTACAAAGAGCAACTACCTTTACAAAAGGGGACATAAAACTGTCTTTTTTATCCAAGTTATTCTCATGAAGTTTCTCACACTATTAACAAAACACACAAACCAAGCTCTCTTATTCCCACCACAAGTGAAATAAAAGCCCCATGTATTTTATTCTGACATGCACAATGACATACTTAAAAACACACACAAAAAAACCCCCCAACAACCTGGGTTGTTGAGTATGCTGAGTAAAGCCACAATGCACAATTTAAAAGGATGTGCTTTCATCTGGCAACCTTTTAAAGAGGGCACAGTTCATGATCAAAGGTTAAGAATCCTGCATACTCACAGTTCTTTCAACTGAAGTTAAAACAAAACTTCATCTACCATTCTCCAAAAATATGAATGATATTTTGTTGTTACACTGTCTAGACCAGAAACGTATCAGATGTATATACTGACTTACCTTAACAGAAGACCAAAACTGACGTTGGAAAAACAAATAGGGACCAGAGTTCTTGTTTTCCAAGATGCTGGAAAGTAAGAGATTTCTTTAATAAGCAACCAAGACCACCTCTGTCTGAAGTTTGCTGACTTCCTCCTTCCCACAGACCCAGTGCATTTCTATAAATATTCCCTTCTTCTGCCCAGCCTGTCTTTGCTTAATCCTCACAGCATGGTAGCTCCTCTATCCAGGCAGAAGACCATACAGAGGTACGAGGAAAAACAACCTATCACCTAGGGAAAAAAGGCACCAACTTGCTAATAACAGTCTAACATCATATTTAAAAGCAAACTTACTTTTTTGGATATAAGGGCATGAATACATCGTCATCAAGTGTTCTCCTCATTCTTAGCAACAACGCCTTTAGAAGCATCTGAAACAAATGATTTTTTTTAAAAAATGCGTCCAAAGCACTGCTTAGTAGGTGACCACCGAAAATTTGATTTTTAAAAGCAACAAAGTACATTTGTGACAGTAAAAGGCATATATACTTAAGCACATATATAAATGAAGTATTACAGAAGTCTGTAATAATTACAGACTTCTGTAATAATTAGAGCTGAAATTTCACACTTTTAATAGAAATTGAAGGCAATGTAACTACTTAATTGTGTAGTAAAGCTTAACCATAAACTACTGTGAAATCCAGGCTTATGTCATTTTAATCTTCAGCTAACTTCCCCCTCACACACAGGCACTTTGGCCTATCTCCTATTTTTCTAAAGGTAACACATTTCTACACATGGCATTAGGCATGGCACTTGAATCCATGGCATAAGTTGTGTTCATAAAAGAAAAGGAAACAAATTATGATGCAATAGATTTGGAAAGGCTACAAAGATCCAAAAAATAAAATTCTAACTACTTTAGCCGACTTTTAAAGTAAATCACAGGCTATACCTTAGTACTGTTTGTATCTCTCTTCGTCTCTACCATAAATTTTGGTCAGTGAAGCCTGCCCAAGTTTCTCTTCCTAATTTACTGCCATTACCTGACTCTCCACAACTAGCCAGCAGAACATCAAACAATTGCAAAATTATTGTTCTTTTTGTTCCTCGATAAACTTGCTAAGTTTTCCAATGTAGTAGTGTCTTACACAATATATTCAAATTCCTTAACTTATCCAAGATACTAAAAAACAAACAAAATCACACACTTACTTGTGTATTTTTGTTCTCTGCATTCACTACTGAAGGGTATCCATCTACTAGTTTCTGTACAATTGCTACCATCCTAGATGTCTGAGTTGTAGAAAAAGGATCCCATATATTTTCAGAAATCACTGTAAGAGAAAAAAGGATTACTCAACTTTGCAAGTACTCAAAAACAGGTAATAAGGCAGTCAGACACATATAACAATCGAGAATTTACAAACCAGTAAAATCTGAAAGCATAAACAAGTACTTAAGGAAAAAAAAAAACGATACCTGTCAATTTAGGGAGAACAACTCTCTCCACAATGGTAGGTAATAGTGAAATATCAGCATCATCTTTTTCTTGCTCCTGTTCTTCACAGCCATAAAACAGCAGTGATTCAAACCACAACATCGTCTCAAAATCTCGACATTTCCCCTAATAAAATGAATTAAGAGGTCAGATTCCAAAACAGAGATTTGGAGTCAACAAGTTTAGTTTAGAAAAAAAAAAAAACCCAAAACCCACCACACCCACCCTCAAGCCTGCTAGAACTCCAAAAGCAACAGCACGAGATACTTGCTAACCAGGACAGAATTGCTTTAAAGTTGTCTATGAAGTGTTCTAGGTAAGTAAGGTAAACAGTATTTGAGCACAATAACAATTTGAAAATCCAGTGCTTTTTCCTGTAGGTGTCAGGCATTCACCGACACCTAGACCAAAGGAATCTGGTATAAGGAGGAGCAAGTTACTTCACCTCCTGCCTTGGCTACCCCACTTCTGAAGCAGTGGTATTTCCTTCAGAAACAGAGGCAAGCCTGATTCCTGAGAAGTGAATGGAGAAACATTTTTTCCCAACCGAAATCTGGGAGAAGATGGGACACAGGGTCAATTTTACCCCAGATCAGCCAAATAACCCAATTCGTTCTGCAACCACACAACCACTAGATCTAACGCAAGGGAAATGGCAGGCAGAAGTAGGACTGCCTTTTTTGGACAATTGTTGCCCTGCAGATTTTAACTTCTAATTATACTTGAGCCAATTAAGAGCCCACAGATTAGGGGAAAAGCAAGAACTATAGTCTATTTGCACACATCATAAAATTACGCTTTCTGGATTAAAAAGTCTTTTTATCAACACCTCGTAACTTTTTAACCTAACAAGATGCTTAATAGGGACAATAACACATAATGGAGAAACAACAGTGAAAACTATTAAATTTAAGAATTCTATACCTTGTCTCCTTCTACTTTAAGCTTGTTTTGCCAGCCTGGAAACCTCACATAGAAGTAAAACAGGGAAAAGGGAATATTCACAAAAGCAAGTTTAAGTTTAATGAGGCCACCTTTCATGGATTGCCCCTCATTTAGTCAGAGCAAATACCCTGAATGCCTTCCAAAGACTTACTTCCCCTTCCTCTACAGTCAGAGCAGAGGAGGTAGAAGATGACCTAAAAATATTCTCCTAGGGGTTAAGAAAACACACCTCTGAAGAAAGGAGAGAATCAGTCATTTGTGAGACAGACAGAGATATATGCAGAAGTTGCTGTAGAAAAGCTAAGCTTTGAAGGGGGGGGGCGCGTAGGGTGGAAACAATCTGCCTTATTAGTCTAGTTGCTTAACAAAACAGAGCGTACGCAATTGCACTCACTCTGTTCCTTGACCTGCCTTCTCCCGTTCCCCAATAAAAATCAACAAGGCAGAAAAAAAGTAAATTCCTACAAGTACTGTGAAAATAAGCTTCTGACCACAGCAAAAATCCTTGTGAGGGCTTTCACTGCTAGGAAGAACAAAGTGGGAGTCAAGTTACCTGAACCATTTGTCCTGCGGCTGCTCACATCAGCGCACGCATACAGGCTGGACAAGAACATGTGCCAGGCATACCAGGCTGCAGCAGCGCTGTGCTGCTTCTCCCATGCTCCCTTATCTAGTAACTGGGCAACAAGTACTACAGGGAGGACGTAAAAACTGCCAGGCAATGTTCTACAGAGTACAAATGGGTAGCTGAGAGAAGGAAGGGCGTATAACATAGAACATAGGTTGTAAGTCAACAAAAGAACCAGCTTCTTAGTTCCGCTTCATCTGAAAAAAACCATCTCTGGAATCACCGTTTTCACTTAAGCATTTTTAAACCTAAATGTATTATTGAGGAAGCTGCTTGGCTTTTTTGGTCTACAATACTCCCTGAGAAGGAACGCTCATGTGCTGAATTTAACTCTGGTCTGCTGGGAATCAGGAAGGGGAAGGAAAAAAAAAGAAAAAGAAAAAAAAAGAAAAGTCACAGGGAACATTACCCTAAGACAGGTGCCTGTTTCAAACCCCATGCCTAGAATACGCATTTAGGAGAAGTACACATCAAAGGTGCAATTCACTTTGTTCTGTAGAAGCGTGAAAGAACCACTACGCAAAAGCTTATGTGAAAGTTGCTTGCACAGAACCTTACCTCCAAAGGAGTCCAGATAAGCAGCTGAAGTCTGATTAAAGGGTTAAACAGCTTTGGTAAACAGAGGCCAATATAAGCATCCTTATAAGAAGCAAAGTACTTTGAACGCCAAGCTTCAAACTGTGACTTAATACAATCAATTGAGTAAAAGCTTTCCAAAACATCTTCAAAAACTTTGCTGGATTCTTTCAATATACGATCTGGTGGGGAAAAGAAAGTCACCGTTAACAAGTTAATCACCTGTTCCCTCTAATACCTCTTTCAAGATAGACTTTGAAGCTGAACAGCATAAACTTAACTGCTGCCAACATAACCAAAAAACATCAGGTTCTGTTCTAAAGATTTTATTATTTCTGCCTCAAATATACAAGATAATAAAAACGTGAGCACATAGGTACTACCTAGTATACTGTTTTATCACAGGTCTTACTTTAAACATCTCATACAATGATTTCCAGCCTACCAGCTACTGGACTGGTGATGAATTGGGTTGTATTCATATAGGCAGGAGAACAATGTGGATCTAACTTCAAAGCTGGCCTTGTGCTTTGGGGAGGGGTAGTCTGGAATAGGCGACCTCCAGGTTCCTTCTCACCCAAATTATTCTACAGCTTTGTTCATCCAAGTGCAGCAGGGCATCTCTGAGACAAGCGGACTGAATCAGCACTCCAGACAGAGTGGTCCTGGCAGACACTACACTAAGCTGCTAAATACACGACACGCCCGTTAGCACTGAGCAACCATTACAATCCCTTAAGCACATTCCTTATCTTTTATCATACTGGCACTACCAGTTTTCTACATATTCCATTTTTCCCCCCCCCCATGTATTACATTTCCTCATTTCTTTATGTATTGTTTCCCTTTTGCCTTTTCTACTCCCCAGGGTTACTTTTATTTTTACCAGTCATTTTTGCTACAGCCGCAGAGTTGTAAACGTTAAGTTACAGCAGTTACCTGCACACAACTAACGTGACTAGTATATGCAACTAGTACACACAACAGGCATAGAGAGGGTAGAGGGAACATTACATTATGTCATACAAATACACTTTTCACACTGGGACCTAGAAAAGATGCCCAGTCTACAAAAAAATTAGCAAGCCCAGGGTGCATCCTTCCGTCCCATATAGCTAACTGCTGATTATGGACTAATGTAAGAGCTATGAACGATAAATAAAAGCTTTAGAAACACAATGCTTATTCGAAAACTGACAAAACTCTTACAAACAGCTTTCATATACATACAAGTGCTGAGTTACAAAAAGCAATTCAGCCACATGGAATTTTTAATCTATATCATTTAACTTAGTGAAGTTAATTATAGTACTAACAACTCTGAACAGATGCTTTACTTATCAAAAGAGCTCTCTGCTTGCATCCACAAGTTTGGTGGATCAACCAACTAAAGGTATGCAGAACATTTGCCCTTTTGAAGGGTCCAACTGCTTGAGAATTCTTCTAATTGCTTCTTTTAATCTGTTCATACTCTGGGTCTCCACAATCACCTACAGCACCAAGTTCAGCATTTTTATGCGTCTCTGAAGAGTGACTTGTTTACTTTAAACGTATCCCATCACTTCATTTCATTTCCCTTAAGCTCTCACACTGTAAAGTAAAAAAAGGTGTTCTCAGATTTCCAAATTTTTTTTTTTATTCTAGTAACTTAAATCCCCATTTACCTTCTGCCATCCATTTCCTAGTTGAAGAGTCCAGAACTGTTTCATCTCTCCTCATACACATACAAACTAGACTATATATGTGGTTCTCACTGCTCTCCTTCTCTGCGTTTCTTCTAATCTGATTACATTCTCTTTAATCAGAGATGATAATAATTGCACTCAGGTTCAAGATGAGAAGGTAACAGAATTACCACAGTGATGTTCTACTTTGTTCACTACTGCTTTCACAGTGACCTCTAGTATTCTGTTTGCCTTTTACCTGCCACTGTTCCATCAAATTATCTGCACTTCACCAAAATCTCAAGATTCTTGCAATTCCCCTAATGTTCAAGAGGCATTAGCTTAACTTACAATCCCTTTTATTGCATAATTACAGTAAGGGTTACCCTGAGCAAACTAGTCATAAAACTGCAGATGAATTTAAAACCCGTCAGCACTATGAGAACTATCTGCAATGTTTTATCGTCAACATTGCTCTTTAGCTTCTGTAAAGCTTGCCAGGCTGTAACAAAAAAAAAATTCTATAAAAGTTTTGTCATTCCATTTCTAGACACTTATGCAAAACTCCAGAACATATTTCCACACAAGCAACAAGTGTCAAAAGCCTTCAAAATTCTACATGTAAAACAAAATCATGTGTCAACATATAACCAATTCTCAGCAGATTTTTGGAGAACGATAAATCACCTTCCAACTGGACAGAAGACTTTTAGCATCAACTGAAGATGCGAAAGCTTACTGCTTGCCAACAAAGGAATGTCTGAATGAAACAGAAAGCATCTCACTACAGATGGGATATTTAGTTAGCTGCAAACTATACAATAGGCTGGCATAAAGAAATGTGTTGGTCACGCTGACGATCCTGCAAGTAACAGTTCCTAAACTTTCACCCAAATATGGGAAAATATATACACAGGGCTGCTTCTGAGCTGATTTTTAGCTGAATTTTCTGTCTTCTATTACATAAACCTCAGTAGTTTTTCTAACCTCGCTCCATATTGAAGTTTGTAATATCTGTTGAAGTTTCCTCATCATCGCTGGAAAGGCCTTCAAGGTGATCAGCCATCTTCCCAGTTTGCTCTCTTGCTTGTCTACGACGGGCTCTGTAAAGGAGCAGCAGCATGAAACAGCTATTATGTTTTTTCCTGTGCAATAAACAGACCTGCCTAAGCTTGTCTTAACTTCTAACGTAAGGAGTGAAAACAACTGCTGTCTCAGACAGGGAAAGGACAAGAAAGCAGCAGAGATCATGTAGATACTGAATGGGTTTATCAAGTTCTCTTACAGTGATTTTAAACCAGCATTATTTAAAACGGCCACTTGTTTCATACACTTATATGCTAAGTGGGGTTATTTAGGGATACCCCTGCCCAGCATTTCAGCTGAAGTATTTTCTTCCTTCCCTATTGTTTCCATCTAGTCTGTAAGCTCTCCAGGAAAGAGGCAGATCTTGCTCTCTGCGCCAGTGTGTCACACAGGACTCCTGTATCACTGATAATTGTATTCTGCAAGCTGGCAAACAGTCCTGATGGACAAGAAACCTCAGCACTCTACCTTCTAGCCTCTCTTTCCGCAGTCCGCCGCTTCACTTGTTCTTGATAGAGCACTCTGTCTCGACCAAAAGAATCAAGATTTGGTGCCATCAATGCCTTATCTGTAAAATTATATTGACGAAAATTAAAACGCTTATCTACAATTATATAATGTGTTGTAGGCAGTTTCACAAGAGCCCTTTACCTACTCAAAGCTAAGTGTAATTTAAGTAGAAACTCGAAGTTTTCAAAAAGATGCACCTAGAAGTCTGAATTCACGAGTCTAGAGATTAAAAGAGGAAGTAATGGAGTTTGGGAAAATCTCCACTTAAAGTCAAATAGAAAACTACTTTCACCATACTTCTCTCTTGTCCCTCTCACAACAGTGCTCAACTATATAAAGTCAACATTTTAAATAGAAACTGCCTGAACTGAATGGTCAAAAAACAAAACAAAACAAAAAAAACAACCAACCAAAAACCCCCACTAAAAAAGCTGCTTACATGAATGTGTTCAGGACATACATCTTTTGAAAATAAAGTGAACAAAAACGAAGGCAGAGAATAGTGACCAGAGCTAAAACATACAGTAATTCAGAGTTCTATTCATACGGTCTCTCTCCCTGAAATAAAGTTTGTATTCTTTAGATCACCCAAAATTTCAAATGCATCAAAATCTACTAGAAAACAAACGTTCTCGCCATCCCTTTTTAACCAACAATTCAGTAATACACCATTCTGATTACAGAAAACAATACAGCTAATCAGTGAAGCTGATGAGCAACCAGAAGGCAAGCCCAAGAAAGTTTCCAGTTCATCCTTTTTAGGCAAATTCTTAAAAGTGGAATGAGTATTAGCCAGCATTCAAGTTTACCCATTAAAATATAAACGTTGAAATTTAAACAAAAGTCTACCCAAATTACAGGAGTAGATTTACATGTTCTAACTAAATTGATTTACAAATCCATCATTAAAAATATTAATGATGATTTGTGTCAGTACTATAATTCTATAAAAGAAATACTAAGAAGTTTAACAGATGGATGAAGCCATCATTTGTCCAACTTTTCAAAAACGTTATTCAAAGCTGAACTGCATGTCCTTACAAGGAAGTAAAACAAACGTTGGCAGACAAATTTACATCCACTTCTAGCCCTTTAGTAATGTTCTGACATATTATATGAAAAGCAGATTGCCTATGGCTGCAAGAAACATCAAATCCAGACTGGCATCTATTCCTAGTTTCTGTGATAATTAAAGGATACAACTGAACTATTTCAAGAGCAAGTCCATTCTTCTGACTCCCAGCTATCCAAATAAGACCCCCCCCCTTTAAAACTCAACCTCGACAATGACAATTATTCCTATCCCACAATCACATCCCAGTCCAACATAATCCATTTAAGCTTCTTCTAAGAAACTGCTTACAATACACTAGGCTTCTAGTCCTCACAACAGCATTTTCAAGGTAAAACTGCAAGGGCTACATGTGATGCCTGGGGCTCCAAATGAAGTCCTAAAAGGAGTATTTATGCTGACCATCCTTGTAAAGGCTCAGCTCTGAGGCCCTAAGGCTTTAATACAAGCTCAGTAAACTATTTCTAATGGTATTTGCAAAACTTTGTCTCTGCACACGTCGTGACAGGTTAGGAGATAGCTTTTACTATTGGATTTCAGGCCAGCAATAGTAGAGAAAGAAATCCATTTTTAAAAACAGGAGGCTCTCCAAAACTGACTAGTATTAATGTGACATTTTATCCATCATCTGATGCTGAATAAAACCTTCTCAAAGGCACGTATGTTTTCATCCAAGTTACTATTTACATTTTGGTAGAATTTTACATCCTGAAGAGTGATCACCGCAACAAAATTCCTCACCAAGAATCCTCCATCCCCACACTCACAATAAGAGGGTGTTTTAACTGGCTCATTTTAAGATTTATTTCACACATAGGATCACTTTCCATTAGTCTGATTTTTAACAATGGTAACAGTCTCTTCCAGATCCTTAACTGTAATAGCTAGATGTCTGAAACGAAATACTTAATGCTGCCTACAGAATAACTTTCTAGCACAGCTCTTCACAGCTTTGGATACAATTAGCTGTAGATGTTACAGGAAATTTACAAATTCAACTAGATCAAAACAAAGCTCCTGACATAAGCAGAAAATTTGAAGTCACATGCTGCTACTACTTCCACCACCACCACTCACACATTTTGAGTGCTAGGAAAGAGAAAATATAGTTAAGATTGACAGAACGGAGAGATGAAGTCAGAGTTAGAGCGGCTTTGAGTTTAAAATAAAACAGATTAGAGAACTTTTAATCTAAACTTGCTTTTACCCATCTCAAGAGCAAGGACAAGCCTTAAGAGAGCCATACTTTAACATTTACATTTAAATTAAGCCATACTAAGTAAACAAGGTTGTTTAATGAATAATAAAAACCTTCAAGATGGACTGACTTGAATGGCTTGAAAACTCCGAAGATTCATCTTTAATATCATCTTGTCGTCTTTGGACAAGGCGGGAAGCTCGCTGTTTGTACAGCTGGTGCATTGCGGATTCAAGTTCGTTAATCAGAGGCACCTGTAAAAATACAACACACTACGTAATATCGAATTCTTCAGCTGCTTAGTTTTCTGGGGTGCCATACTATTCCGAAGCATAACGCTGTCACTGTGCTTCTAGCAGCACAAACTGTTCTTACTCATTTGTATCATTTGGACCAGTAAATGTTTCAACTTGAAGAAAAAGCATGCATTTAACAACGTTGATAGCTTTCAACTGTAGCAATAATGTTCTGAAAGTAATTTCTGTTGACTGAATGAGTTTGCACAGTAAGACAATTGTTTTAGAGAGTGTAAAATGTAATTTCAAGTACTCTGTGATTTTTCTGAGTGTACTTAAATATTGTGCCGTGCTAATACTTACAATTCACAGACCTCATCATTTCAATTCTATTTTAAAACCAGATTATAGTAATATTCTATAGTTTAATGAGAAAATAACCTGACTGTATATAGCAAAAATACAAGGCATAAATCTAACCTCCTGAAGTGAGCAGGTATTGTTTTGCTACAACACTTATTAGCACATACTGAAAAATTACTGAAATTTAATAAAACAAGTGCATGAACATGTTATGCTAACAGGTACTTCAATTCAATAGCTTTACTCAAGCCTATCATTAAAATGAAAATAGTACAATTTCTGTGATTTATGCATTAAGTATAACCTTTGAAAGATACAGACTTAAGCTAAATCAGATCTGCTACTCTCTTTTAAAGAAATGTGGATGAAATTTCAGTAGTAATTGTAACAAAAATACCTATTATAGCAACTAGGAATTTCCAGACATCAGATAGCAGATTCACTGCTCACTTTTGTGGATTCATTTCTTGGGATAAGTTAAAATTAGATCATTGCATATATTCAAAAGCAATACACAACTTTTCACAAACTTTTAATTTGGAAAGGTCATGTCCTAAAACTCACTTTTTTGGCATGAACACTTATGCTGCGTCCTCCTTACCTCCAAGACATATGATTAGTCCAGTGTCTTCCAGTTTTTTAGCTCAAATACGTTACTGCTGCCTACCACTCAAGATTTTTTTGTTAAAAAAAAAAAAGACAGACATAAATTGTTTCCTGATCTAATTTAGAATAAGACACCAGTAGTTATTAAAAAACACCCTTCAGCAAAATCTAAAGTTCTGAGATTATACCTGCAGGGTGATTTCAGCTACCTGAGAATGATACATACATCAGAGGAGATATTAAAAGCAAAGAATTATTAGCTCTTTGGGGTATAAGCTAGACTACAAGAACTAAAAATCAAAGTAGCTCTGTACCAACTCTAAATACATAGAACTTTTTTGGTGGAAAGAGGGCGTAGAGGAAGATGAGAGGGAAAGATCCCAGGGTTGGAAGTCTAAATTCAGGATTTAAGACAATTTTGAAAACAGATATAATCAAACAACATATTAGTTTTATTGTAGTTTGCCATAGAAAATAGTTTCTTCTTGTAAACATCTAAAGGGAATTCTAAAATTGAGAAGTTAAATCTTTTTTTTTTTTTTGAAATAACTCCTATATTTTTTCTGTAACTATCCCAAAGTTCTTTCTACAATTGCCTCAGCGTTAAAAGAAATCAGCTATGCATCCAAATACGTGGATCCACTCAAAATATTTTCCATTTACAAGAAACTTAAAAGTTTTTTTTTTTTTTTTTTACAGTCAATATGTGGTTAATGAGTGACTGACAATTTCACTACCTACTATAAAGTTACAGCCTTCATTCGTTGTGTTTTGTTTAGTTGATACTTTAAATTCAGTGATTTTTTTTAAATTTTATTTCCAATGTAAACAGTGTAAGAGGAAAAAATGCAAAAGTTTCAGAACATTTAGACCACAAAAAGTTTTATCCTACAATTCCTCCCCAGTGTGTTTGGAAAGATTGCTTTTGCAGGTAAAATAACAGTTCATCTAACCATGCTGTCAAAGGTAAGCTAAGAAGAATTTAGTCCTTCCCTATCTCTGGCATATTCTTAGATTCAAAAAGTAAAGACGCTATTACCACTTTCTAGCCTTCTCACAAAGCATAATTTTGACAGTCTTTATTTGTAAAGGAACTACTGGTCATGCAAACATCCTCCGTTCCATTGATTTTATCATTTGTGGGGAAAAAAAAACATACAGGATTTGACATTTCTATTGCCTGGCTCTAAAATTTACACAACAACTTCCTCATTATACTCTCCATTGCACCTTAGCAATGAACAACACGTTTCTAACATTCAGAATCTCTTCAAAACAGAATAAAATCAAAACTGTTTCTTGGTGAGTGGGTGGGACACGAAGAGCTGAACATGTTGAAGAGGTACAGAAATAAGGTGGTGGGGGAAGAAAAACTACTTTATAATATATTTGTTTTCCAAAACTAATTCAACGGACATACACAGAAACTCTAGGAGAACGGACTTTTTCAGAACACGACAAGTGTATTATGATCACACTAGTGATTGTTTAGTAAAACAACTTCTCATCAGACCACTGTCAATGTGAACTTGACTAACAACATGCTCATGATCAATACTAATAAAACAAAGAAAAAGCATCAAAGTATCATTTGGGAGAGGGTCCTAATTTTATATATATAAAAATGTGAGGTTTTTTTATACATACATACATATATACACACACGCATTATAGATATGTGTATATATACACACATATACATATTTATATAAAATATATCAAAATATTTAAAGCAAGTCTCTATGTGTGGTTGCATATACACACACCCCACACACAGACACTTGCTTTAAATAGAAGGTAGCCAGTACCACAAATTCTACAAAAAAGTTGGAGGTAATTTACATTTATAGGAAGTCTGTCTTCCTGCTGTATTTTATTACTTTAATAATAATAAAAAATAATTTTATTACTTTTGTTCCCCCTCCCTCCCTTAAAAAATAAAATAAAACCAAGCAAAAAAAAAAAACAACTTGCTGTGTCCTGTGGGCTACTGTTTTTGAATTTCATAGCACTTTCATCATGCTGAAAGCACTGAATTCCAAAACAGATTATGAAAGCAAAGAATTGAGGAATACATAGAATATTATGTTACTGTAATGCACCAGTTAAACTGACGATGTCACATCCTAATTTTGCAACCCACTGTGTGTACAGTTACTTCAGTAGCATCTGACTGAAACCAGCAAAACTCTGTGAACACCCTTAAGAAGCACTAGACTAATAAAAAGCACATCTGAAAGAGTTCGTGGACTGGCATTTAGTGTATTTTTGGAGGGTTCAAACACAGCACCCTTAAAAGAACAGTCATCAGGAAAGCAAAGGCATATTGTAAGAAAGCAACTTAACAAGCCTGTTTGTGAAATTATCAGCAGCTAATCTGCTGTATCATGGCTAGAACTGATTTCTTAGTATAGCTGGACAGGTCTCCTACAAACTGAACTGAAATCATCACACTGTTAGTTAACAGTAAATTTCCCCTGGTTTACACAAAATTTGGGAGACTAAAAGGCTTGGTTTATACCCAGAACGGTGCTTTCTAAAACAATTGGTTTAAACAAAGTATTTTCAGCAAGACAGCGTGGACAGCCATACAGACAACATCCATGCATAGCCTACGCTTGCTACAACAGAAATCTAACAAAAGGTGCTTTAAAAAACAAACACTGAATAGAGATACAGATATTTCACTTGTGTTCTGAAATGCAAATTGATCTAAGAAGCAAAAATATGAATAGTTATCTCTAAATGAAAAAAACAAAAGAACTTAGGCATCTGGGCAACTAGCACTGATGGAGCAGCAAAGAAAAGTCACCTTTATTATCCATGATTAGCTAGCACCAATACAGGCTCAGGAATACTGCTTCTTCAGTGAACAGCATTTATTATAACTAATCAATGAGCTGAGTGAATTAACTGGTCCACACTTCCATGGGTTTGTCCGAGGCTGATTCTCTAGTTTTCAGGATTGAAGATGGGCATTTCCCAAGACCATTAACACTGGACAACTATCATACAACCGATTAGCAACCAGAATGCTTCTATTTCCTTCTTCCTCACCTACCAAGATAGGTGAAGGAGAACAGTAACTACTCAACTCGCATAATTCTGGCAGCTAACATAAGAAGATACCATACTATTGTATCATATAAGTCAGAAGGCAACAAAGGAACAGTCTGTTCTGCTAACTGAATTTTACAGTTTCTGTAATCAGTTAATATATTTACCAGATTTAAATAGCTTATATAGAAATAACCCATTGAATTTAACTATTTACATCAAACTAAATAATTAAATCATGAAGAATAGCATAAGGAAGAGAAATTAACTTTTCAAGTTAGAAATATACAGGAGGATTACATTACATGGAAGGTGTATACTTTTAAATTTGGGTGTCTTCAGCCAGCAACACTAGTTTTAGAACTTTTCTCCTCCAGATACCACAGTACTGCCACACACGTGAAATTGTTCGGCAGGAAGAAATTTACAATAACACACAAAGCATGACTCTCTGTTACAGTGTTCATGAAGCATCCCAGAAACTAATAGCGTTGTAATTGAGTCTATTTTTTGGCCAACTATTTGTTAACCTGATACCCAACACATGCAAAAAGTGGAATCAGAGTAAAGTTAAAGTGGCATATCATCTACCATAATGCTAAAGACAGCCTAAAAATATTTTTAGATTATCTAAAGTCAGCATTATGTTCCAACAGGAAATACAGCAGTGATCTGTCCTACTGTAAGAGAGCTTTTTTGATAGCCAACCTGGCACGATGAAAAGTTATCTTTTCAACACTTGAATAACCAAACCTTTAGAAGAAAATGTTCTCAGGGGGCTTTTTTTCAAAAGGGAGCTGTGTTGTTTGGCATGTACTAAGATTCCCTACTCTTTTTTTTTTTAATTGAAAAAAGATGAATGTTTTTGCATCCTTACCTTTTCACTGAAACACTCAAGCAAGTCTTGGACATACCCTCGCATTTCTTGCAAAAATTTATACCGTTCACCAATACCCCCAGAAGACCCTTCTAATCTCTCAATTGCCTTGGTAGAGTCCTCTCGGCTTTGCTGATGTTTCTCATATTGCTGCCGATTAGCTCTGTGCAAGTCTTTCATAGAGTCCAACCTGAGGGGCAATGAATAAATATCAAATTTACATCCAAAAGTCTATGTTTTTCAGACTGTTGAGATATTAAACACATATTGCAAGTTCCAAGTCTATATATGGGAAATATTTTAAAGACACATTCTCTAACTGTAATTTGCCACTTTCTCCCCTCTCTACCTAAATAGCAAGGCTAATGGTTTAAATTAATTAGCTAGAAAGTGCAACGTACTCAGCTTAGTCAACTCCTATCAACTTTCATAGGAGTTGAAAGCACTTAGAACATTGCAAGGCCGACCCTCAAGGAAAAGCAGGGAGGAAGGTTTTATGGTTCACCTGTCAGAAGAGGTATACAAACTATAATTCATGTATAGCTATCTTCATCCTCTGGTAACTTGATGAACTGACTAACAAAGCCTGAAACACTACAAGGGGCATACAAACCAATTTTGAGGACAACTAAAGTGCAAGTTGTTCATTACAAATGATTTCTCCCTGCAGTTGGGTTGTTCATTCAGTAGGACCTTTTGCGTACCTGATGAGCAGATTACAATGTTTAAACCAAAAAAAAAAAAAGTTTAGACTAAAATCTAAAATCTTTACCTATACAGGGGAAAAATCTGATTTACAGTTTAAAAGAACATTACTTGACAAGCTAAAGACCTCACTGGCCTTTCAATTCTTGACTATAAGACTGTGCAGTGTCCAGAAGATGCAACTCAGACCTGTCTTCAACAAGATCAATTGCCACATATTTAAAGCTTCACTTCCAGAGAAGCAATCCGAGGAGGTTTTCGAACAAAGTGTCAATGTCATCTTCATTTTGGATTTTTTTTTGTTTTTTTGTTTTTTGTTAATGGACGTGCCAGTCAGTACTTTTCCAGCGATGAAATTCTGCATTTGCTCACCGAGACTAAAAGGTGCCTGAGGAACAGAAAGCTAGGGGACAGGTCTTTAAGTCTAAAAAGATGGTCTGTCCTACCTGTCTTTAAGCTGTTTCTTTACCAAATCAATAGTAACAGGAGTCATCTCATTACTGGGAGTTTTGAAAGGAACCGTATTATCTGTTTTTTGAGACTTGGTTTCCGATGACCCATACGCAGTGTAAGTGTACGGAATGCCATATGATGAACCATAAGACAGTGTCTGGTAAGTGTTCTGGTAGTACAGATTATTCACTTCAGCAGGCTGATTTGGTTGAACCTACAGAAAGATGGCATATGATCATACTATATTACAATTTAAAGAAAGGAAAAAACTTACTTTGTTTCACGTTTCAAATGTTGCAAAATGAAAAATGCAGGCAGATACGTATTAACATAATTATCATGAGGCCTTGAACGAACTGCAGAGACAACATAAGGCAGAACCTGCTACAAATTCCAGCTCCACCTTTATGCTGCAACGCGAAACAGGGCAGCAGCAAAGAAGCATGCAGTTACAGCACAGACTCTACAAATCCAGTGGTGAACAAGAACAAAGGTCTCTTCCAAAGTGGCACTATTCTAGCTCTATACCAGGCTGCAAATAAATGCTGACTAACACCACAAAAAATGATCAATACCTAATCTAGAACAGAGGGAGACTAAATAAACAGATACCATCGGACACTTAGAATCCAAATTCTCACTTCATTTTAAAGAATATCAGAAATTCCACACTAATCTTCTCAGATGAAACAACCTTATGTAAACTATCCAAGTTTGTAATGGATTTAGGCAATATATGCAAAAACAAAACAGAAAAGGTTCACAACTGAACACATGCCTGAGGTATGTTGATTCCTTTCCGTATCTGTTCTTGCTCCCATCTACTGAGTTCTTCATCCTGCTCCCCTGTCACCAGTGCTTCATCGTCGCTTCCCTCAATACCTGAGCCCGAGTAGAACAAACGAGTAACAAAAAGAAGAGCATAACATATTCATAGTAAGGGTCATGCTGAAAGACATGCTCCAGTGGGAACACGGAGTTCAGTGCATTCTACCTCCCTCTTTACAAGGGACTAAGGATGCCAGTCTGACGTATTCTCATGGATATCTCAATTCAAAAATCCAATGGATATATTTGCGATCAATTGTTGGTAAAGCTCTCTAATACTATAAACTTACATCTTAAAAATTCTCCTTTTCTTGAAGATTATTTTGCCTGCTTGCCAGCAAGCAGAATGCTACATTGAAGAACCAAGTGCTCTTCTGACAACTACATACTTCCCCCCACTCCCCAAAAAAGTGCACAGGACCAATACTAATTGCATAGTAATTGCTCCCAAGTGCAAGTCTGCGTAAGACTTGGCAGAGCTATGTTTTTCTAGCATGAAAACTTCATTCGTGCACACATTTTATAAGTAGGCTTCTTTATACAGTACTTTTTAAAACATAGAATGTAATTCCAGATTTATGTCTAATAAGTATCGTATGCTACAATAAATAGATAGAATCCCGATAGGTATTGTGGTGCTTGAAAAACGTGTTGTTTAAGAACGCTGAAAGGGAGCACTTGCAGTAAAAACACTGTGAATATTTATCAGCTGTGCAACTGTCCTTCTGAAAAGATTTTACCTATTTCCTCAGCAATCTTTTGCCTTTGGGATTTTTCCTTCACCGTAAAAACTATCCTCCTCTTCTCGTCATCATCTTCATCATCACTGGCATCATTTTCGTCTTCGCGAACAAGGCGGCTTTTACCTGGTTCACTGTCAACAGGTGTAAAGTCTCCAAGTTCACGAGCCATTTGACGCTTTTTCCTAGCGGCATGAATAAAAGCAGCATCTGGAATTTCTCCTAGAGATAGATGTTTACACTGTTAAACAACACTGCAACCAGATATTATGACTCCTTATTACTTATCTCTGCTACCCTACCAACTCTTCTTTGCAAACAAAGAACGTGTGAGAGAGAGAGAGAGAGAGACTTTTGTAAGCAAATTGTAAGCTACACATGCAATATTTCAGACCTGTAACTCTCAAAGTTGGGATTTTTCCCAAAACATCTCGCTCTACTTTCGTCAGCTCACACGCCACAGGAGCTTGATGTCCCTACGGGAAATACTCTTAGAGAAGAGGAAGCCTTTTACAGGAGCTGACTACTGCAAGGGGAAGACGACAATGGGGTTCTTGACTGTGCTGCTCCTTGATCTGATACTGCTCCTAACTGTTCTCATTTGCTGGGGGGTGGGGGTGTTTAAAAAAAAAAAAAAAAAGCCATTTCAATAGATGACAATAGCTTAAGAGATCAAGGGGACACCAAATAGGACGAAGACAATAGAAGATTGTACGGCTGAGGAGAAATAAGATAAGCCAACCTAAAAAACTACCAAAATTGCTAGTAAAAATATGAATGCAACTTACATATACCATATACAGAATGGGCTCCCAAAATTAATTTTTTGAAACATCAGGAATTTTTACCATTACTTTGATTAGATACACACAAAAGATTAAAGTTCAGATTCTCTTTACGCTTGAAATGACATAGTCTACTCAAACCAGCAATATCTTTACAGATGCGATAATGTATATACTGCACTACTTTGCAATTACCCCTAAAGTGAAGAGATCTATGAGTCAATTAGACAAATTCTTTTTGCCATATTATTATACTCTACGAAATACAGTCAAGTCTGTGGACTGAGGACACACAGAGGAAGTTTTTATTTGGGGAGCAGGCTACCATATGAGGTAGCTAACAAGTAGTAAACTACCTAAAAAAAAAAATATATATATATAATAATTTTATATATATAATTTTTTTCCCCTCAAACCGATTTCTTTAGGCTCAGGGCCTGACAAGAACCTCATTAGACAGAATGAAGTAGAAAAACATTCGTGATACCTTTCATATCTATAACCGGGGCAGTCAAAGTGAAGACAAAATTTTAATTGAAAGTAGTTAAAATTTACATTGAGGACATATTCTGAATCTAAATTTTATTATCACACTGAGAGATAAATTATTGGTTTTGACATGAAGATGAAGCATTCTGTACTGCAGCATTTTCTCCCATAAGGTTTCCAAAATGGAGCAGCCTTGGAAAACAGCAGTTTCCTGAATTCAAATGTTAAATACAGTGCGAAAAACTATTTCCTAATCTCTCAAGCATACCAGTCTGCTGTAACTGCTGGCTAAAGCATTTCTCAACGTATCAGACGTATTACAAAAACCCACCTGGGCGGAGAACATTCAGTGAGGACAGAGCACTTGAAAACGCCCCACCAGCTTTTGGTTTTTCTTCTTCCTTCTCGCTTTCAACTTCCATTTCTTCTTCGCCTTGTTCACTGTTTGCAGTTCCATCTTCTTGACTTATATCCTTGATCAGCCCTGTTTTTTCTAGAGGTGGTTCAACTGTTAAGACAACAAAGCCTACCTTTCACTCTCTTTTGTAAAGATCATTCAAAAATGCTTTTTAAGATCTAACAACTCAAAGTAAAAACTAAATGAAAACGATGAATAATTATTTCTTCACTAAAGGATGCAACCACAACACAGAAAGTGTCTTTTATTAAGTTACTGAAATCCTCTTGAAGTAAGTTTGGCAAAGCAGACATCCCAAAACCGTTAAACATTCTAGGTATGGTCAAGTATTAAAAAAAGTGAGGGAACCCCAAAATTAAGGTATGTGTAACCTTCGTACAGCCTATTATGCAAGCAATTAGAAGCAACAGTGCAAACAAGATATTCTTTAGAGATGTTTCAGCCATATGATTTAAAACTCTTCAACTCAAGACTTCCACTCTGCATTAATGAAATGGTTGATAGCAGTAGTAGGTTGCCATTCTATATGTGGCCCAGTATAGTACTCCATTTTTCCCTAATCTCGTTGTTCAGTGTGCCTCTTGCCTGTGTTACACCAAATCTTTGCACAAAACCAGATTCACTTTAGAAGAACCTTTTTTTCTCCTGGGTAGAGGGTGCAATATTACCCTATCTTAGGTGCTTAATAGGTGGAATACTACCCTATGTTAGGTGGCTAATATTCAAATATAGGCAGCAGGTACAAACATTATGTTAAAAATGCATACTGAATATAGCTACCTAATCCAAGCTATATTATCCAAATTCAAGTTTGTCATTTTGTAACAATTGTTTGGAGAATCCAGACTGCTGATTCTGTAGCAGCCATGAGGTCTCTACACTGTATCCAGGCCAGCCACAGATACCATAAAACAGATCAACAGAAAATAAGCCCATCTTACTTGACTCGCCGAGCATAATACAGAGTCTTGTGGCAAAAGCAAGAATGAAGATCCAGCTTTCCACAGATCTTGTGAATGTGAGCCACAGAAATTATCCTTGCTGTTTCTGCTGACACCCAGTACCACCGTACAGGCAACTCAAACATTCTAATAACAAATTCTTTGTTATTAGAATGAGAATTCTGTGATTCAAAAAAAAAAAAAGGCAAATTTCTTCATGGGACCGTATTCAACTCTCATGCACTTCAGGTGCATCATTGCAACTTTTAGATTATAAGCCTTGCACTTGTGCTCATGGAGTATTGGGTTATCACTCTGCACATGAACTAACTGGAAGAGGAAAAGCAACCATTACACTTTGCCAATGGGCTTCCCAGAAGCCAACAGCAGAACAACGAAGCTGAAATCCCAGGCTGTATTCCAAGCTATGGAGGATCGTACATTGTTAAAAGTTCCCTCTGTTCCAACACTTCCATCCTGTCATCGGAATCATCAGCTATTCCCTACTTTAAGGTCCCAGTCCTGAAACACACAGCTGTTGAATAATTCACTTTAATTAATAACAAAGAACACCACACTGCTCACCCCCTAATTTTCCCTTTCGAGAAGCTGCATTACAAGGACACACTCAGTCAGAGAAGCACTAGCTGCAGTTCTAAACTAATTATTAAGAAGAACTCGTCTGACAAAAATAAACAGAGCTGAAATACAAAAACTACCAAGGTCTGCTGACAAATGTGTATGTAAGCCTTCTGAAAAGTTTCATCCTTCTACATTCATTTCCACATCACAAAGATTCAAACCAGCTACCAGCTTCAGAACAGCATTTGCGAGGTTCAAACAAACCTATTTAACACATGCTCTATTTCAGTTCTAAACGCTTAATCCTCTAAAAAAGACTGACAGTTCATCTTGGAAATCAGTTATTAATGCCAAAGACTAAGTATTGTAAATACAAATAAAAGTTACTGTTAGCATTGCAGTTACCATCTGTTGGAGAATTGACCTCTGTTCTAACTTTTGATTTTTCAAGATCTTCTTTGTATTCTTTCTTCAGTTGTTTTACAATCTTTTTGCTGTAACTTGATTTCTTCACTTTAAAAACTTCTTCGGTTTCTTTAAAAGAAAAATTGGAAAATATTACATTAGAGCTGCAAAGAAGTACACCTACCTACTAAATCCCTTGATTTTGTACCTGGAACACATTTAACACGTACCACTAAGAACATGCTTTAATGTGACTTTACGCATGCACTACTGTGACAAAAACAGTCCCATACTATTCCTTTGGAGAGTCACGCCTACCTTATTTTTTCGCTATGTTATTTTTCAGGCGCATCTCACTCACAGCACACTCACACAAAAGCAAGGCCAAAGTTTCACAAAAGTGTACGCACACGGCCTGCTTTTATCTGACCATAGGAAATCTCTTTGTAACAGCTGATTCTCCACTGTGACCTCAAATTTGAAAGAAAACAAGCAGCTCAAATGTTTTAGGTTAACATTCCTTTTACAGCCATACATGTACACATGACAGTTCAACTAAGAGACAGCAGTAAGGAAATGCTTTTTTTTTGATTGTACTACCAATTTAAACGCCTGCAGAACTACAGCCTACCAAAAAGGTATTCAATAAGTCAAAGACCTAAACAGCACCAAAAAGTCAAAGTTTGATGTAGGGAATCCAGGCTTCTTTTTCCAATACTGTAATCGTGTATTTTCAATATCTCTCTCAAGATTTTAACTTACAAGCCTTAATATTCGCATTCCAGTGATTACAAGAGCAGTCCTTTTTATTAGGAAAACAAAGAAAAGGCTTACTAACTCCCCTGCGGGCAAAAAACATCACGAAAACAAACTTCATGTTTTGTTCACCCTTAACTTTCGGGATGCAACACACACAAGAGTTTTGAAGGAGTGGGTTTTTTGTTCGTTTTTTGATACGTACTAGTTAACTGTTATCCGTAATCTGATTATCTGAGTGGGAGCGGAGTGCAGCTGAGCGTTCGCAAGTGCAGGACTTGCTGGAATCCAGCAAAATTATTAGCCGAAGCCCCATGCGAACACAGCCACGCTCTTCTTCTGAACGCTGGAGCCTGGAAACCGTTCAAGGCCTTTCGCCATGCACGGAGCACAACCTAATAACCACCGTGGACTATTAGCTCTGCCCCAAAACACCAGTGACTTCACGAGGCGCCTGCCAGGACAACAAGCCATCTGAGGCGGCCCATTAACGCCACGGAAAGCCACTGCCGAGAGACCCCCGCACCCCGGGGTGGCGGAGGGGGTGAAGGGGTTGGGCCAAGGACCCCACCAGCCCAGCCCAGCCCAGCTCAGGCCGCGCCGCGGGTGCCCTCAACGGGCGGGCAGAGCCGTTTCGCCCCCGCCAAACGGGCATCCCGGATACCGGCACCCCGGTAACACACGGCACCTCGCCGCTTGGAAATAATAAAATAAATCCAGGAGCCGGCTCCCCCTGGGGTGGGAGGCAGAGCAGCCCCGGGCTCATTCCCCGCTTCCCCCCGCCCCGGGGCAGCCGCCGCTCACCCTCCTCCCCCTC